AAAAGAAATCGTCCATCATTAAACAGGGGTGGAGGCCTCCGGGTTCAACTGTCCCCCTCTTACAATGCTGTGATTGCTAGTATCACTCAGCCCTCTGTGAACAGTAAACAGCCATCAGTGTGCTAATGATCCATTGTTAGGCTGATGGTCCTTCTTGAGCATGTGATCAGTTGGTTTTGGTTGTCAGCAGCAAAACTGGTTGATCCACTCTGAGAAGGTGCTATTTAAGAGACTGAGCTGAAAACAGCAGCTCAGACTGAGGAAGTCTCACGGATGAGAGACAAAACGTTTCTACATTTTTTTGTTTTTTTGACTGTCCAGAGGAACAGATTGAACTTTTTTGGATTTTCTACCTGGAATATTGAGCATGCATCAGGATATTTTATGGGATGTAATTTAAACATAAAACAGGAGAAATAAAAAAATGACTTGTCACAACTAAGATGTACCGACTAGATATAGTTGGGCTCACCTGGACGCACAGCATGGGCTCTGGAACCGATCTTCTTGAGAGGGGCTAGACCAGGGATATTCAATTAAAACTCACGGTCCAGTAACTAAAATTTCCTCCTTGTAAAAGGTCCGAACGAAAGTCCAACTTTTGTTTTATGGTCTTGCCTACCCGTGTTCACATTTTCACTGTTAACAAACTGAACTTTATAGTAAACAACTAGCTCCATAATCAAAATTAGTCCCAGGCAAATACATTTAAGGCCTTTATTTCAGATCAACACAGAAAGTTCAGAATAAAATGCATCTTAAATGTGCAAACAAAGCCTAATAAGCCTTTTTCTCTTAAATTGAAGAGGTCCAAGCCTAAAGAATTGAAGGCTTACACTTAAAGTAAAAAAGTTAACATCTTTAGAAAACAATTTAAAATTTGTTATTTTAGTATAAAAAAGTGTAAACAAAACAAGTAAAGATTTTTCTTTTTTTTTTCTTCAGAAAACAGCAGTTTGTTTTGGACATTTGGGTGACGAGAGGAGCTGAGCTGTCAACTGATCACCACCTGGTAGTGAGTTGGATCTGATGGTGGGGGAAGATGCTGGACAGACCCGGTAGACCCAAACGTGTAGTGAAGGTTTGCTGGAAACGCCTGGCAGAAGAACCTGTCAGAGTGATCTTCAACTCACACCTCTGGGAGAGCTTTAACAGCATCCCAGCTGAGGTGGGGGACACTGAGTCTGAGTGGGCCATGTTCCACACCTCACTTGGCTGCCTTTAGCTGTGGCCGCAAGGTTGTCAGTGCTTCTTGCAGTGGCCATCCACAAACTTGGTGGTGGACACCCCGGATTAGGGAGGCTGTCAAGCTGAAGAAGGAGTCTTATCAGGCCTTGTTGGCCAGTGGGACTCCGGAGACAGTTAAGGAGTACCAGAGGGCCAAGCGGTGTGCAGCCTTGGCTGTTGCTGAGACAAAAGCTCAGATGTGGGAGGAGTTTGGTGAGGCCTTGGATAGAGACTCTCGGTCGGCTCCGAGGAGATTCTGGCAAACCATCAGGTGGCTGAGGAGGGAAAGCAGCACTTTACTAACACTGTATTCAGTGAAGGTGGGGTGCTGTTGACCTCAACCTGTGATGTCATCGGGAGGTGGAAGGAATGCTTCTCAAACCTTCTCAGTCCCACCGGCACATCTTCTATGGAGGAAGGTGACTCTGGGGACTTTAGGGTTGATCTGTCCATAACTGCGGTTGAGGTCACCGAGGTAGTTAAAAAGCTCAGAGGCAGCAGGACTCTGGGAGTGGATGAGATTCACCCTGATTTCCTTAAGGCTCTGGATGTTGTGGGGCTGTCTTGGTTGACATGCCTTTGCAATGTCGCGTGGACATCGGGGGCAGTGCCACTGGATTGGCAGACTGGGGTGATGGTTCCCCTCTTCAAAAAGGGAGACCGGAGGGTGTGCTCCAATTATAGGGGCATTACTCTCCTTAGCCTCCCTGGAAAGGTCTATTCAGGGGTACTAGAGAAGCTAGTCTGATCATTGGTCGAACCTCAGATCCAGGAAGAACAATGTGAGTTCCGTCCTGGTCGTGAACCACTGGACCAGCTCTTTACCCACAGTAGGGTCCTTGAGGGATCATGGGAATTTGCTCATCCAGTCTACATGCGTTTTTTTTGGACTTGGAGAAGATATTCGAACATGCTCCTCGGGGTACACTGTGGGGAGTGCTCTGTGAGTATGGGACTGGGGGCTCTTTGCTACGGACTGTTCGGTCCCTATATAAGCGGTGCAAAAGTTTGGTTCGCATTGCTGGTAGTAAGTTGGACTCCGCCATGGCTGCCCGTTGTCACAGATTCTGTTCATAACTTTGATGGACAGAATTTCTTGGTGCAGCCAGGGGGCTGAAGGTTTCCGGTTCGGTGGCCTCAGGTTTCCATCTCTGCTTTTTACAGATGATGTGGTTCTGTTGGCGTCATCGTGCCGTGATCTTCAGCTCTCACTGGAGTGACTCACAGCAGAGTGTGAAGCGAATGGGTTGAGAATCAGCACCTCCAAATCTGAGGTCATGGTCCTCAACTGGAAAAGGTGGAATTTCTCTCTTCAGCTCGAGGGTGAGGTTCTGCCTCAAGTGGAGGAGTTCAAGTATCTTGGGGTTTTGTTCAAGAGTGAGGGAAGAATGGAACGTGAGATTGACAGATGGATTGGTGCAGCGTCTTCAGTATTATGGACTCTGTGCCAGTCTGTTATAGTGAAATGGGAGCTGAGCTGTAAGGCAAAGCTCTCTGTTTACCGGTCGATCTATGTTTCTACCCTCACCTATGATCATGAGCTTTGGGTAGTGACCGAAAGAATGACATCGTGGATACAGGCGGTTCAAATTAGTTTCCTCCGCAGGGTAGTTGGACTCTCCCTTAGAGATAGTGTGAGAAGTTCAGTTATCCGGAAGAGACTCAGAGTAGAACCACTACTCCTCCACATCGAGAGAAGTCCGTTGAGATGGTTCGGGCATCTGGTAAAGATGCTTCCTGGGCGCCTCCCTAGGGAGGTGCTTCGGGTATGTCAGACTGGGAGGAGACCCCGGGGAAGACCCAGGACAAGCTGGAGAGACTATGTCTAAGTCTCTTGGTTGGCCTGGGAACGCCTTGGGGTCCCCCCAGAAGAGCTAGAAGAGGTGGCTGTGGAAAGAGATGTCTGGGTTTCCCTGCTCAAGCTGCTGTCCCCACGACCCAACTTTGGAAAAAGCAGAAGATGATGGATGTAGTCACAACTTTGTTGTTGATATTTAAAAAGCAAGTTTATTTGAATAAGAAGTCTACTTCAGACAGTGGCAGTGTTATTTTAGATATAAATATTGTACTTGGAACATTAGAAAAACTAAAGAGCTGCAGATGGACTACAGGAAGAAGATCACCCCCCACCCCCAACCCTATCAACATCAAGGGTACTAAGGTGGACACTATGGACTGCTACAAGTACCTGGGGGTCCACTTAGACAATAAACTGGACTGGACAGCTAACACCAACGCGCTCTACAAGAAAGGTCAGAGTTGCCTTTTTCGTCTGAGGAGACTCAGGTCCTTTAATGTCTGCAGGACCATGCTGCAGATGTTTTACCACTCGGTGGTCTCCAGCATCTTCTTCTATGTTGCGGTGTGCTGGGGCAGCAGGGTGAAGAAAGCTGATGCTAACTATTCAATTCAATTCAAAAATACTTTATTAATCCCAGAGGGAAATTATTTGTTGTTGTAACTCATTATCCTCATTTCATTAAGAGATGTCACAGATGCTGATGGCTGTAGACTGGAAGGATCTCTTGTAAAGGTCCATCCCACAGTGGCTCCTAAGAAATTGGCAGCAGATGCCGTCCAATCTGTCCACCCAGACTCGACTGACCTCTCAGTTCCCCCGGGCTGTAGGACCACAGAGCGATGACCACTCCTCCCAGCAGTCTGCTGAGCTCCTCGTCGCTGCAGACAGCCAACTGTAGGTGCCGAGGGACGATCCTGTCCTTCCACTGTCACGAGCCGTGTTTCCTGTTAGTTCCAGGATCTCAGTGGTCAGGCACTCGAGCACAGCTGGCAGGTAGATGAGAATGCGTCCACAGAACATCCCTTCAACTCATTTGAGATTTGGGGCTGTAGTTGAGATATTATTTGAGCTTTTGAGATGCTAATCAGCTGTTGCTGGTTGTAGAAACTGCCTCGTTGCCATGGTTACGCATCATAACAAATGTCCAAAACTAAAAAAGTTTCAGTAAAAATCCCAGTGAAAAAAAAATTAATCACTGTGAAAAAAATCACATCATGTTGCTGCTGATCTGTTTCATGTTGCTGCTGATCTGTTTCAATTTTGCTGCTGGTCTGTTTCAATCTTGATGTGTTCATGCGTGCTCATCTGCTCACACAGACTCATGTTCATGTTTGTGCTGATGTTCGACATAATGTTTTATGTTATGAATGCTTAGTGTATATTGAGTTGATGTTTTTCTTAGTTCATATCTTAGATGTTATTACTGTTTTTCTTTTACATTTTATTGTTGGATGTAACTGGGACCCTGTGTACACAATTTTGCTCCACCACATGTACCACATGAGGTGCGAATGACAATAAAGAAACTCTGACTGATCTTACTTGAGTATTTCCAATGCTACTTGTACCTGAAGCTGAAAGCCATGGATCAGACGAAAGCACAGCTGCTTATCTAAAATGTTCTTTTTAACAAGAAGAATCAGAACTGTGGATATCTGCAATACATGTTCAGTTTGGACATTATGCGTTAAATTTATAATGTTGATGGGTATTATGAATGGTATTTTAGATACATTCAAGTTAAATTCCATCCATCCATTAACTTGTGCTCGTTATAAATAAAATAAAAATCTGATATTTTGACCAATATAAATAGCTTAATACCTAAAAAAAAAAAAAGTGGATTGATTATAGGTTACAACAAACTGCCATAAAGATAGCGCCAGTGATCAAGTAGGTATCTGCCCAGACATAAACAGACTCGTGCGTGAGGGTACGTAATGAACGCTCAGACGTACGTGCGCGCACTCTACGCAAGACGCGCTTCTTTCCAGAAACAAAATGCCTCCCGCGCGCCCTCGCCTGTTGGTTTCTGCTGCTGTTCCAGGAACGGTGAGGCTCTTTCCTGCGAACAGAGTTACATTCCGGACCTGAGCGGTCCAGTAATCCGTGCCGGGATAACTCGCAGCGCCGTCTTATCTCTGAAAACCACGCTGTGCTCGTTTTTTAGCCTCCCAAGGACAACAGCTCCGGAGTGTAGGAGGAGCTAGCGACGTGTTTCCGCTCCGAGCAGGCCGAGACAGAACCGAGCTGCCGCTCAGAGAGTCCACAGCCACCGGACTGTCGGCAGCGACTGCGGGAAACTCTTCAACCACAAGCCGCCTAACCACCGGGAAGCTGCGGGTGTTCGTGTCCGGGTGGGGGGAAAGGAGCGGCAGCTGGGCTGTGAAAGATGGAAGCCGAGTTCTGGGAAATCGATGAAAAAAGGAGCTGGTTCTCCGTTTATCAGGTAGGAAGATCAGCCCTTCAAGGTGGGTCACGAACCGTGGCTGTCGCTTTGAGTTCGACTCGTAACGAGTCGGAACCGACACGAGAAGAAGCTCTGATTGTTCGGTCGGTTCTGTCCATCAGTACCATGTTGCTGCGGGCCGGACCTTTAAAGATGGTTCGTGTTTCTGGACGGATCTGAAGCCTGCTGCACGTCCCGTCAGAGCGTGTGTGGGAACCACAAAGAAATAAATATTACTTTTAATTATTATAAATATTATTTTCACTATAAATATTACTGCAATTATTATAAATATTATAAATATAATTATAAATATTTAATAATTATTACAAATATTATTTTATTATAAATGTTATTTTAATTATTATAAATATTACTACTCTTGGCATATAGGCTATTACTATAAATACTACTTTATTATAAATATTACTTTATCAATATTTATTTATTATAAATATTGCTTTAATTATTATAAATATTATTTTAATTATAAATATTAATTTATAGGTGCTACACCTATCCCACCCACATTTTGATGTTGTTGGTATGGGGAGTTGGACCGACGACCGTCTGATCACAGGCCCACCTTCTCTAGCCTTTGCACCACCACTCCCCCTAATTTATTATAAATATTACTTTAATTAAAATTAAAACATTGTTATATAGCATAACTTGTAAATATTGCTTTAGTTATTATGAATAATATTTATCTTAGAAGTAAAACATTGTTATTTTGATAAAACAACATTATTTTTATTAGCATTGAAACATTGTTATTGCTCATGGTTAATGAGTGTTTATTGTTTCCTTGGTGTGTTTTAAATGTTTAATCTTCTAACATGACATCATGTTTCTGCAGAGTCAAATGGAGAAGTGCTCCTCAGGATGTTTGATCAGATTTACAGCACGTAGCAGTCACACTGACATCATGAACTTCAATCTTATAATAATGTTGTTTTTTATTCTTTATTTTGTCTCAGGAGATTCGCCAGCAGTCCAGTGAATTACCTTGCACGGTGGCAAAATCGGTCGAGAACAAGACTCGGAACCGGTACCGGGATGTCAGTCCCTGTGAGTTCCTGCTTCACTGGTCCAAACAGTTTGAACACACAAAAAAACAAACAAAAAAAATTTTTTTTTTTTTTTTTTAACTCCCATCAGTCTGACAGGTCTCTTAACATTTAAACTTCAGCCAGTGATAACTTGGTAAAACTAATAACAGCATTTTGGTTGAAACATAATTAAATGAACACATGTCAACCTTTTTGTATAGTTTAAAATCTTAAAAACGCTCATTTAGTGATTTTTTTCATTTAGGAACTCGGTGCGAGGCAACATTCAGAGATCTAACATGTTTACTGCTCTTGTATATTCACAGTTACCCTCCATTCAGCCTCTGTTCTCTCAAATGAAAGAACTACTGGTAAATTATATGAGTTTAAAAATAACAAACGTCTCAGTCCATCAGCTCAGGTTTGGTAGTTTCCCTCCTTCACACTGAATAAATCATGTAACATGTCTTGCACTGTTAAATTTCTTTTTCACATTAAAGATGTGAAAAAAGGAAGCTGAAAGTTTTTGGGCTGTTTTTTCTTCTCGGAGGCTCTTCAGCTGACAGCGTTTACATCTCGGTGTTAAAGGAGAGACGAGCTTTTTGTTTGTTCAGAGAAACCACGTTTGTCGTCGTGGAGTGTGGTGGAATCACTCAAACACGTTAAATTAATAAAAACGTTATTTTTGTTCCTCAGTTGACCACAGCAGAATCCGCCTGCAGCTCGGTACCAACGACTACATTAACGCCAGCCTAATAACCGTTGAAGAGGCGCAGAGGAACTATATCCTTACTCAGGTAAGCAGGAAGGTTTATCATTATATTATATAATATTTTATTTGTGTACAGCTACTGTGTGATGGAAACATCCGTCAACGTAATCCAGTCAAATGTAAGTCCATGATGGCTTTCTTTCACTTTTGCAGCTTAATAATAGTTTTGGTTTTCCTGTCACTTATTTGCAGTTTGATAAATTGTAGGAGCAAAAATACTCTCCCAATGTTTTGTTGCTCATTTTTTCCTTGTAAATAATAACTGATGTCTTTTTGTGAATATATCGTCTTGACTTCCTATGATGTCACGGTGACTAATCAACATCGACTCGACTGTTATCATGTTGAAGTCGACTTTAAAAAAAATATGTAGTCGTGCAGCCCCTAGTCTGAAGGTCCCGGCTCTGCGAGTTCTTCTGCTCGTCCCAGGGAGATGTGGCGTGGCAGTGATGGAGTCGGTCTTAAACCACCGGACTTTAAGGAGCTGCTGGCAGCGTAGTGAGGCCGTGTAGCAGCTGTGGTTCTGTTTTTTTACTCATTGCTGTAGTTCGGTGTTAAACCGTTCTGATGTTCATTTACTGCGTATGAACGTCAAAACTAATGACTTGAAGCATCTGATAAAGACTGAATTGAATTGAAGCAGTGACAGAATGATTTGTTTCCCACTCTTTTTGTTAGTAAGAATTGTTTAACATGCACTCAAAAAGTAAGTTTCTCATGTTGTACAGTGGGTTTCTGGGAGAGGTTATGAACAATGAGTGTCTTACCTGTTGTAGATGGCTCTTTGGACAACTTCAGTTTGGAGAAATGAAGTTTAACTGTGACAGGACTGATGAGCTAACGGCTAGTCTGAACACCGCCAGGAACAAAGTGAAAGCTGTCGTCTTACGAAGACTCAAATCTCATTTGAACTCTGTTTGTTAATCTTTATATTGATTGTTATTTATAGCTTACTTATGGTTATTTATAGGTGCAGCAGCAGTTGGCTGTAGCACTTCTGGAGCAGCTTGATGCCCCTCTGGTAGAAATGTTGTAATATTTTTACTGAAATAACCAAGTGTTGGTCACGGTTCTGTTTGAACGCAAAGCTCTTTAAATGGCTGAAATATCCCTTTATGGTTGTCTAACAGAAGTCTGCTCATGGACTACTGCCAACATGTGTGATGTGAAGAACTGAACTGGGTCTTTCTAAAGAACCTGCGGTCCTTTTTGTTTGCAGGGCCCCCTTCCAAGTACCTGTGGTCATTTCTGGGAGATGGTGTGGGAGCAGAGGACCCGCGGGGTGGTGATGCTGAACCGGGTCATCGAGAAAGGATCCGTAAGCAGCCGTTCCCTTCTCAACGTCTCATTTACGCAGGAGTCTCTGCCTGTTGGTCTGTGTAACTTCATCTGGTTTTAGATTAAATGCGCTCAGTACTGGCCCCAGAGAGAGGAAGGAGACGCCGTCTTTGAAGACACCAACTTCAGGGTTACTTTCGTCTCCGAGGACGTCAAGTCTTACTACACGGTCCGACAGCTGGAGCTGCAGAATCTGTCTGTAAGTTGTGTCTCATGTGGACATCTGTTCATTGTTAAATGCTTATTCTAAAGACAAACCGTAGAATGAATTATTAGTAATGATTGCCTGATAGATGTTCTTCCTGTCCTCTCTGAACGAGACTCTGCCCACCACCTAACACTCTCAAGGCCCCAGTATAGTCGGGCGTGCGGAGGTCCGTACGTACCGGATTAGAGTCGAAGCGGACGCCCGCAGGGCATGTCCGTGCAAAGATCAATTTTTACGACCGTGTACTCGTGTCGCACAATAAACTGCCCGGTGACGGACTGTTTTGTATGAGACACCAGTGAATTAGATTCCACTTCTTCATCCCTGATCTGGTTTAGTGGCCTTTACTTTTGTTTTTCTCCAAGAGGCAAGTGATCTCTTCCTCCTCCTCCGTTGATGCCATGTCTGAAATGGTGAGAAATGAAGGAATTTGTCATGAGCAAATTAAAATCAGGCCTGGCGTGGCTGCGAGGGTCTGGAGAGTTCCTGGTGGGCTGGTCTGATGCTGCAGGAGCAGCGTTCCCTGTTTTTTTAAATTTTTTTAGAAATTTTTATTAACATATAAACGGAGAACACCGCTGCAGCTGGACTGCCAGCTCTTGTTTTATTTTTTTATTTTTTGCGACCTGTCAATCAATCCAGTATGCGTGTCAGCAAATGACCAATCGGCGACCTCATTTTGTCCCAAAGGTAAACGCCCCTTGCCTGCGGAGCTGGTCTGCAGCCGCTCAGGGTGGATGCTCAAGTATGAAGGCTCAACCCTCTGCAGACAGTGCACGTCGAGTCCGCACAGAAAAAGGTTCGCAGTCTGTGGGAGCCTTTCGATCTGAGGATTCGGGATTTACTCCGTTTGCTAAATTAAGCTACACTGGTTTTATCAGAAAAGAGATGATCAGCATTAAAGTTTCTTATTGCAATTTTAAAAATATTTACAGATCAGCATAAAATACAGTAACTGCCGGTCCATAGAATGGACCTTATAAGCTGTGCACTAAATAAAAGATAAGACATAAGAATTTTATACATATAAGCTGTGCTTGTGTATAATCCGCGGGTGTTCATGTTGTAACATGAGGCCTGTTGCAATAAACAATAAATCAATCAATCGCATGATAAACATTTTCATTTATCGACTTTATCGTTTCTTCCTGTTTCTCTTTCTACTGAAGACACTGGAAGACAAAAAGCTCAACTCCGGGGCTCCTCACTGACCCCCCCCCCCCCCCTTTCTGTTTTCTCTTTAAAACCTGTTTTAACGATCCAAAATCGCGTTTTTGGGTCGTTAAAAGCAGCTAAGCTGAGAAGCTAAGCTAACAGGCCGACCTCAGAGAAAAATCTGTTTTGTCAAAGCTCCAAAGCGCCTCCCTCCCATTTTTCTTAAAGTGACACGCTGCTCGCTCCCTCAGTATCCATCCTTTGGTTCAAACGGTCTTATACTGCCACCCGGTGGTCGAAAAAAGGTACTACATGCAAAACAAAATAGAAAACATTTCTTCTTAAATTTGACAATAATTAGTCATTATTGTCAAATTTCAAACAATATTATTGTTTATCGCAATAATTTCTGCAACAACTAATTGCCCAGCACAATTTGTTATTGTGACAGGCCTACATGAGTGGCAGCACAGCTACTTGTTGTAGATCAAGAATCAACCACCAGATGGAGTTTTATAGACTTTATCTTAATGATCAACTCACAGACAGAGTGAACCCCACAGGTCTTCATGACAACT